TGGAAGATTGTGAAGAGGGCGAGCTCAATGAAGTTGTATCTTTTGGGGCAGATGACAAAGTAGAGGCTCCACAATCTTCCAGGAGAGTTTGAGGTTTTAAACGATCCGAGACTGACAACGACAAAGGAGATGGGGACAATGTTGAGAACACACTTGGCTGCTCAACTTCTAATTGTGTGGTCTGAACCGTGTCCGAGCTAAAACCTGTGTCGGCGAGTGTGCTCCTCTTATTAAGGACAGGTGAATGGGAAGAGCGAGCAGGAGACAAGCAATACCCGTTGTCTCGGGGGCTGCCAAGAGCTGGGTGGAGAGCCGTGGGAGACAGTACGCCTGTCATACTTCCGTTGCTGGCGGAGGAGGCTAGGTACTTGGGTCGGTAGACTTGGAGGGGAGGGGGCAAAGGAATTGGTGGACAAGGCCCTGTAGGTGACCCGTAACGTGGAACAGATGGGGGATGTTAGACCAGGACCCTAAATAGGATAAAATCCCAAAATTAGATGGGGTTCCAATGTGACGAGCACGCGGTGTCTCTCGTTGTCTTTGTTTTTTATCGTGTGCTTTCCCACACAATGCTTGATTGTTCACCCGACTTTTGCTGAAGCGGACTTGTTCACTGCTAAGTAATTTTCTCGATGAATCCTGGCGGCGATAAGCAATAAGCTTGGCCGATGGGAATTCCGACACAGGTGAGCGGGCCGCGGAGACAAGCGGAGAAAAGCTTCGGAGTTGATAAGTGTGAATGACAATGCAATGCCGTACTTGCAACCGTATCAGGTACAGTACCGACCACGTTCCGACGATCGAATCTCACTCGATTCCAGTTTGCGCTGTACACAAGGAGTGAACCCCCCAGGGGCTGGCCTGACAAGCAAGATACAGATGACGTCGCAATGCAAGTCTGTTGCTACCTCGCTTCCCCTGTGATCCCCCGAATGGAATACAAGGATGTGCTGATAGAGCGATTGATTTACTGAATCAATCAGTCACCGTTCACTCTGAATATCGAGATATTAATAGACTCTCGTCCAATAATCTCTCCTTGATGCAGCGAGGTGCGGCAGGGTTGTAGAATATCCAATTAGGAAAAACGGTAGCAGCCCACTCTTGGAAATCGAAAAGTCGAGAAGTCGAAAAGTGATATCCGTAACCCCCGTGACGAGCTATCTTTCTGACCGTTGCCAAATCTCGTCGAGAACCCCAGTCAGTTGCGGGGATGAGACACCCACTCACGGAGATACGCCAGGGATGTCGATAGCTTTCTTAAGACGCAAGAGCCGAGCCGAGCGGGAGGGACACGCCGCTATTGGTGGTGCTTGTGATGAGAATCCTTAGTCGCAGCAATACACGATGCACGTGGGTGATGTGAGCAGCTGGGATCAAGCACCAAGAGACTGGTTAGACTAGATCCTGAGGTTGTTGGTCGTGCTGTTGGTTGATCTTGTTGGTTGCAGTGTTCGGCTGCCGACTCTATATGTTGCTCAAATTCAACGTCACGGCGGCGGCAGTTGATTCAAGGTTGAGGCTGGGAAAAGAGAACCTTCTTTTGCAATCCACAAAGTGCAACCGGAATTTCGGGAAGAAACAGCGAAGAGCCACACAGAGAAAGGAAGCAAGGCAAGGATTCCGGGATCTCTTTTGGCTGCAGTGCAGATGTAACACAACACTACACCAGTCCAAAGCTGCAAGCCACAAATATGTGATGTAAGTATTCAACGACCAGCGAAGAAGATAGGTTGTCGAGCGGATTCAACCCTCAAAAAGAACCAACAGGTTAAATTACTTGGCGCCAATGGGAGGGTTGTGACAAAGAAGACAGAGACGCAGCGAGCGACCAAGAATGTTGGTGACCAAGCGAAGGAATTAAAAAAAAAGAGGCCGTAAGCGAGAGGCAAAGATGAAAATAAAGTGGGCGATTTTGCACGAGACTCACAGAGTCTTGTCGGCGAACGCGTGATTACAATCAATGTAAAATAAAATAAAAGAGAACAAAATACGAGTGCTCGAAGGAGAGTGTTGAGACCGGCTACCGAACCCAAGAATTTGCTGTGTGCTCTACCTGGGCTTTAATACTCTGGCTTCATTTTCCTTGCGTGTGTTTTCGAATATCGCGAGCTATAAAACCTGCCTCTATCCCCTGTGTTTTAGCTCTAGGGTCCCAGCTTTGGGGGGAAAGGAAAGGCTCCCGTCGTGGATAGTCCAGCCCCTTCCACTGGAGGGTCGACCCTGGTAACCCCTTTCTCAGCCTAGAACTCCTTGTCACAAAATCTTTTCCTCGTCTAGCGCCTGTTGAGACACGTCGATTGGAAACCATGTTGCAGTCTCTTCGTCTCTGTACAGGGAACCAACTATGCGGTTATAAACTAAGCGAATTAGCAAGTACTATGCTAGTGCCAACAAGGCAGGAGAAACAACAAATAGTATGTATGTGTTCCTTAATCAATGTCAATAAGATATCAAGATCATATCATATCATATAAGTTGTCAATGTTCTATGGATCCCTAACCAACGGGTCTATAGCCTAGCCGCGGCTCAACTAACCACTTACACTTCTCTGTTATAACCGTGCGGGAAAGTGGAACTAACAGTTGTCAAGTGGGCGCCGTCTTGCTTTTCAACGGTTCAATTGCGAATGGTTCAGGGTCGTTGCAGATTTCTCCAGTTTGTCGATTCATGGTCTCAGTAGCGCTCAATGCTCCCTGTGCAGCTGTAGTGGCTTAATCGTTTTCAGGGCAACGGTAACTAATGCGCATTATGTATTTTAGAAGAGTTTGGCATAAGAACTACGGATATACAATGTTTGGCGTCTTGATGTTCACGTTCTCGTCCTTTGAAACTTTCTTCTGTAGATCGTCGACCTCAGGCCCCGAGCTTACGTTGTAACCTTAGTTGTGATAAACCTTTAGCGATTGTGACACCAGGTTTTGGTATTCGTGGCGCCAAGCTAGGTAACACCGTAACAGGTTGTTTACCAAACATGCCGGTGAAACCTTGAAGGCGATGACCAATGTAACATCGTTGGGCGAAGGCGTGGCAATTCGTCTCAGCTTCTCAACTCCAACTCAGCTCTTTGTTGAGCATCCAGAGATCGAGGCATGTACGTATTCGAAAACATTACGAAACACCTTGTTAGGTAATTGCAAGGAAATGTCATACCTGACTGGATAGTTGTCATCTCAATGCAAACCCCAGTGTTTGTCAATCCCTGTTAGAGAGTGTAAATGCGCATCACGTCTTACAGTATCAAGTTACGAGAACCAACCAGCTACGGTAAAACACGATCGTGAAGATTTGAACTCGAAAATTTTGCGAAATCCAATGGTATCTTTGATCCTCCGTAAACAGATTCGACCCCCGAATCGGCCTGAGACCGCCCATACAATTTCTGATGCCGTGGTGAAACACAGAGCCAGGAACTTGTCCACTGAGGAGCCGCCATATCCAGAGCTTACCCGATAGCAGCCCGGATCAGAAAGTCCCGAGACTCTGCCAACTATACTTGGCGGTTTTAATACTAGTACAATGGCCCTTTTGATCGTTGAGGTTTGACCCTCTTTCTCAGGATTGAGGCTGGCCTCAAAGTGCGGTAAGCCTTCGCCACGAGCTGACGCTGAGATTTATCAGGTTGGTAAGCCAGCCGAGGCTGGGCGCCTAGACGAGAGTTTGATTGTCATCTTGGCGGGAGAGCCATGTTGGTAATACCGAGCGTGGGATATCATGCACATGGTTTGGTGTATCATTTCCAGTAGAGATCCTCCGCCACCTTCGCTTCCATGACAGAGCGGATGAACTGTCTCATGCTTCTCGACTCCATGTCATCGCCGGACATGGTTGTATCGAAACCAGGCTGTTGATACTCGCAGCATATACGTTGTCCAAGCTGAAGAACATTGGTCCATTCAGCGGGAGTGAAGGCGCCCTCGCTCTCCGACAAGAGCAACTCATCATGAGAAGTGAAACCGAGAACGTGAACCGACTTAGCATGATCGATATCCACAGCGCTTGGATCGATGATGATGGACTTGCCCTCCTCTTCTGGAACAGCAAGAAGTGTCGCCGCGCCAATACTCTTCAGAGGGATGGCAGCGCTGAGGAGTCCCAGGATGGCAGAGTGAAGAAGTGCAGGAATGATAGGGAGATTCTGCAACGAGCATTAGTTTATCGGTACCACCAAAGTTTGACATTGAAGCTTACCAACTGTGCCTGGACCAGTTTTGCGTTGACGTAGGCATTCTCAGGTGTCTCGGCAACCTGAAGAGTGATCTGGATCACACACCGAGGATAGTCTCTCACAGGGATAAGTTGCCTGATCGCTGCCTGCATGATTGACTCAAGCTGTCTCTCACGGGTACCTGTTGCAGCATGCATGAGGAATTGCTATTCTGTAACAAGGGATGTGGGGGATCTCACCTCCAACGCCAGCGGCAGGACGAACAATGACGTCCACTAGAGCCTCGAAGGCATTCTCATCTCGTCTTTGGGCTTCTACGGGGCCATTGACAGCGGCTATCACGGCATATCCCCCGTATGAGAACGTCGCAGAGCCGTCAGCCTTGGCGAGGTGTGACAGCTCTGCTGCAGGTTCAGCTAAAGGAGCCATTGTTGTTGGTGTTGAGACGATTTAGTCGTGTAAGGCTGGAAATTTTCTTGGGGGTTTGAAGTTTAGCCCAGCGTAGCGCACGGGACAAGGGCAGTGAAGTAGCAGGCGATATAGGGTTGGATTCTGAAAATGTGGTTAAGACAGGTTAACACAGAGGAGGGGAAATGAATTAACAGATTTTAGCAAAGGATGGAGTGAGTTCCCCAGGTTTCCATGAGTTTGCTGGCTCAATATCGAAGTTACGGATTTCTTGATAGTGGGGCAGGTTAGAAGCTACCTGCAGAGGTGGCTGCCAATCATGGGTCCACAACTCATGACATGCCGTCTTCACAACACAATCAATGAACCTCCATTCTACATCTACATCTGCTTACCTATCAACAATAGACCAATTCTCTCAATATGGACTCGCAAACTTCTATCCAATCCGCGCCGTCTCAAGGCGAAGTATCACCAATACCAAATCTTAAAGATCGACTTCCGAAGCTCGAACCTCGAAAGCGACGCTCAGCTACCTCCAATCCTACTCCCATTCCCGAAACACCCGCCTTACCAACGCCACCCGATACGTCCAACTGGACTTTCAAAACACCGTCGCGAAGAATTTTATCAAAAAGGGACCATGATATCTTCTTGTCCTCACCAACATGTAAGCTCATTACGGCCTGGGTATTTGGGCTAGCAGAGTCTGTGGTCGACACTCCCAACTCTGCAGTTCGAGACACCGACCTGAGCAGCCCTCTCAAGGTCATACTACATATCCTCGATGAGACGGAGCAGCTGGTAGCCAAGTCACCTCCGAATGAACAAGGTGGATCAAGATTTGGTAACAAGGCGTTTCGCGGCCTTCTCGAGCTCGCGCAAAGCAACTGTGCAGCTTGGCATCGAGATATCGGCGTCCAAGACGAGGGAGCTATCGCCGAACTTTCCACATACTTCTGTCAGTCTTTCGGTAACGGAAATCGAATCGACTATGGATCTGGCCATGAGTTGAATTTCATGATCTGGCTCCTTTGCCTTTACCAGCTGGGCTTGTTAGAGCAATCCGACTTCAAACCCCTCGTCCTCCGTGTATTCGTGCGCTACCTTGAGGTGATGCGTGTCATCCAGATGACTTATTACCTTGAGCCTGCCGGATCACATGGAGTTTGGGGACTTGATGATTACCAGTTTCTCCCTTTTCTTTTCGGTGCCACACAGCTTTTACACCACCCATACATTACCCCAAGAGCTATTCATCAAGACCTTACCCTTGAGGAGTTCGGCCACGACTATATGTATCTCGGTCAGGTCAGCTTTGTAAACAGTACAAAGACCGTCAAGGGTCTGAGATGGCACAGTCCCATGCTAGACGATATCTCATCAGCGAGATCGTGGACAAAGATCGATGGTGGCATGCGTCGCATGTTCGTCGCTGAAGTCTTGGGCAAGCTACCTGTCATGCAGCATTTCCTCTTCGGTTCTCTCGTGCCAGCAGCAGATGGTATGAGCGAAGACACAGGCACTGGGGAAGACGAGAATGCCGAACATGATCCACACGAGGGCCATGACCACACAGGAAAGGCTCACGATGGCACAGGTTGGGGTGATTGCTGTGGTATCAAGGTTCCGAGCAGTATCGCTGCTGCCCAAGAGATGAAAAAGAGAGGTGGTGATCAGGGATTGCGAAGGATCCCGTTCGACTAACGTCGCTACCATCAAATCAACGATCAATACAAACTCACCAGGTTATAGACTTGTACCTCGCACGGTGATCTTGTGACACTTTACATTCCGTATGCAAATAAAGAATGGTGTCGTGATAGTCATTTGCTCGTTCTGACCAGCCTCTCCAGCTCCGTGGTCTAGAGTTCGTCACATGGAGTACAAGCAAAACGAATGGGTTGTAGTACGGCAACTGTGAGAGATCCCGCGAGATTAAACCTCTATTAAGTTCAAAATCTTAGGCCGATCCACACCTTACTAAGAAATGTTGACTGTAATCCATTGTGCAAACAAAGTGGTCAAACTCTCTAGGCCAGGTCACCAGTGAAGTTATAACGAACTCAGTAGCCCTTTTTTCAGCAGATGCAAGATACTCCAAAACAATCTGAAGGGCTTAAGGAGGCCGTGGGAGAAACAATATATTAACTCGCCGATGTTCAGGTTGGAGGAAATCGTGCGAGCTCTCCATGACATGATCCCCACAGACCCACGGAGAAAGAAAAACATGAGATAAAAGACTCTTGACTTAAAGAATTTATCAGGATTGAGAACAAACTGCTTTGAGAGAGGAGGCCTCCGAGTTCATAGACAAGTTATCAGGTCAAAGCTGAGCCTGAATATAGACCAATTCCTGATTTCGACGTCTCATAGGAGGGGTTGGAAAGCAACAGGGGCAACCATGTATGTTAGACTTCAAATGCTGTAATCAATACGTTAGAATCTATTTCTAATTATGATTCCCCAGATGGATAACCCAATCCTGCCTGGGGCTTTCGTTCAACCTCTAATCAACGCGGCTGGTACTTTGGCTCACCACAACGAAAGAAACACTCGTCAGTTACTCCACAAAAGCTGTCGAGGTTAAGGACCAGAAATAACAAAGAGGCCTCAGAGAACCTGCAACTTCATATCATAAGGCAAGCTTAGTAGTTTCCTAATCGTTACCTTTTCACTTCCTAGTGCAAACGTTTTGGTTCTTCTAGCTGTCTAGGTGACCACTGGACGATTAGTATTGATTTTCACCATAGTACTTAGCGAGAGCGGCAAAGTTGACATCCAATTCTAATGAAGGGGGGCCCAGACCCCAGAACGCTCCCTGAATAATCTCTAAGGGACAAACATTCATAGATATGTGACAATTAGGGTTGATATGTTCCCGGCCTAGTTTGATCGAGTTTGGAGGGAGAATATGAGACCCATAGTAGGAACGCGCCGCAATGGTTTAAACAACAGGAGACATGCAAAGGTATCATTCGGTGAATGTTTGAGCTTTATCGGTCTGTTACGTCGTCGATTTCTTCCCGGAAAAGGAATACCCGCACTGATATCTCCCGAGGAAGCCGGCTTAAGGCCTGTCATGACCAAGCACAAAAAGAAAAAACAGTCCGAGTTTATAGATGTTCTATTACTCAACACTCTTCTTGTAACGGAGAGAAAAGAGAGATACATACGAAGGAATGATAGACGATCTCCATAGAGTGACCCAGTATATTGCAATTGCCCGTGGAATGATAAGCTTTCTCATTCGACTCGAGTCTATCCAAGATTTTTCTGTACATAAGTCACTTGGCTCTGTAGGCCGAGACAGCAATGACATGACCGATCTTGAAAGTTAGCATAAACGCATCATGCCATACTCAATATGTAGGTCATTATGAGTCTGATATTTCGAATTTGTAGAATAAATAACGGCGAAGATAGCCCTGGAAGCTTACAAGCCGGGGGCTCGTCCCTCCAACATTTCGCATCTGAGACCTTCGAGGTTTATGATTGCCAGAGTACTCATAGAGTTCCCTCATAAAGTAATAGTCGGTGCCTACTAGGTATGTTGCAAGTACTTATCCAGCAAGTTTCGAGCTGATCTACTATTAAACTCCTGCTATCGCCAATCAGCTTTCGATATCTCTTCGCCCCTTTATGAGTTGCTCAAGCCCTCTGTGAAGACAAAGTATGTAGCCTAAACAATCGAATATATACATACATACGCAAGAGCCACTGTCAGTCACTGAGGCCGAATGGAATGCTCTCCTCTGACTACGAAGAGATGATGGGTTTAAAATGATCGCTGAAGATTTCGTGATCTCTTGAGCAACTTTAATGTCAGGCTCTTTCGGTTGTTCTTTTTGTCTATATGCTATATACTCTGTAGCCTCATTATCCTCTTTGGAGCTTCCAAAGTTCCGAAGTTAATTTATGGTTCTTCACTATCATTTGTCCTGGTACTCTCGCCCGTAAGTTTCAAACACGAACAGGGATAAGGGGTAGCAATCTAAGGGGCATTGAGGGGGTTCCGAATGGCGGTCATATTCCTAAGAGAACCTTCAACGCTGGTATCAATAAGGACTCGAATGGTATGGAGAGAGTTTTCAAGAAGTTTTGTTCATTTATATTGTCATAGTGGGTTTGAGTTGACTGAATATCTCATTGTTTCCCTAACCATAACGCATCAAGCATCAAGTATAGTTCATCCACACATTATCTACCAATGGCTTACAGATGACAAACTATTACCGAACCTTATGTGAGGCGGCGTAACATTCCTTCGTTGATTCCATAACCACATTCCTCAAAATTTGTGCCGGTGTACAAAAACGACCTGGCAATATCAATCGTGACGCCCATTCTATGACCGTAACGTGTAACGAAAATCGACAAGTGACCGCCCGTTGTGGTATCTTGAGTCAAACAAGTAAACGCAAAATTCGCAATAACATCGTAGCGAAGCATGGCCTGCTCGCATGAAAGACAAATGAAATGAAGTCGTGAAAACATATCTCGTTGTGATGTGGTTTGTAAGGATGAGGCCTGATGATGGTCTCACAGACGCCCATTTCGCTGGGATGGCATTGGGCCTGTCTCTTCTGATTGGTAGCAACGCAATTGAGGCTCTCGGAGTCTATTCGTTACATGGATGTCCACGAGCATTTCGACAAGTGCCTCCGCATCCTTGTGAACGTTGACAAGATCGGCAGGGCCAGAAGAAATTCCAAGTAAGCTACCGTCAGCTCGCGGTTTTCGATACGCCGCGAAAATGATTCCACGGTCAGTGTTCATAGATTGGACAGAGCATGCCGAAGAAGAAGAGCTTCTCGAGATGACAGAGCCCCCTCTTGAACACTCGCCAGTGTAGAAAGCACAGGCATAGCCTCGCGCAAATTCATCATTACGGACCTCCTTTGCTCGATACTCGATCCAACCTGGAGTCTTCAGAATCTTGCTATGAGCTGTTGTTGATATTTGGAAAGGCAGGTTGACGTTTTCCAGTCCATAAGCGGCGAGGAGACGGCCAGACAGGGGTCCAAATTTCTTGTTTGGTGAGTTCATGCTGATGGGACTTTCGGAATTGATTCGCTCATAGTCAGTCCATAAGTTGACCACGTAAACGAGATCGAAGTTGTAGCGTTTAGCAATTCTAGCCGCCTCGAATGCTGCAGCAGTTGCAGGCTTGCTTGCATAAGGTGGGGTGAGTGTCAGGAGGGAAGAACGAGGAGAATCGGGGGCAGAAGGGGCAGTGGCGTATGTTGAGGTCTCTATCGCATCCGCATCTGCGGGAGCCGATTCAGCAATATCATCATCACTGAGGTTGAAAAACTCGTTGAAGTCTGGTTCTCGGAGTGTAGAGCTAGTAATGGAGAGCCTATTTGTGGCGTCTTCCAGGCTAGTCTGACTGATAGCTTTCCGAAGTGGCCTCTGATCCGGAGTTTTGGTAAAATGGCGGCGAATGTCCCTGCAAACTGCCTTATTCAGAAAATCGATAGACTTGGAGGCTCGAAGTTGAGCAATGTGAATGGGACGAAGCTCTGGTGAAGATTCTGGCGTTGGAGGCTTCTGGGGAGGCAATGCCGGAAGCTTTTTGTCGCGGAAATATTGAGGGCTGCGGGCACCTTCATCTTCCAGGTCTGAGGACGGGGGAGTATCAAGCCGCGAATTTCTAGTTGCAGACTTTCTCGAAGGTCGCAATGGAAGGCTACGCTCACTAGGGGCTTCCATGGATGATTTTGGATCGCAGGTAGATGAAGACGCAGATGTTTCTCTCTGGCGGGTTGGAGGTCGCGGAAATTGATAAACATCAAAGTCTTCTAGGAATGAATCGTCTTGTGTGGGCATGAAAGAAGCCTTGAGAGGGGAGTACTGTAACTTATGCGAATTTGATAAACGCGTGGGGTTCTGGGCGTGCATCAAGTCCAATCGATGAGGAGAAAGAGGAGCCGTTAGAGATGGAACTCGATTGCCCGGCTGCTTTCTCACTTCCTCTCTCGCCGCCATGCGACTTGTTTTTGGGCGAATGAAAGAAGGTGAAGGAAACTGAGGTATTGTTGGAGGGTTAGAAGCAAGCTCAACTGAATCGGTCGAGGCTGCTGGCGTCTTCTTCTTGGCGAAGAAGCGCTCGAGGCTTCCGAAACCATTAGCCATATTGAACTTGGTCAGTGAAGAGGCAAGTTAACGTTGCGCAGGATGCCTAGGTCGAGTCGTGTTAGCGAAGTGAAAGATAATCTTGAGCGCCCCTTGTGCATAGAGGTGCACGAAACGAAGGAATTGGGTTGTAACGTACCAGATCTGATGCAGTGAAGACTCATCAGTGGAGGAAATTAAGAGGCGAGTCGTGAGCCGAAGTGACTTGGGTGTATCAGAGTCACTCGCGGTGGAAATTGGTGTTTTGTGAGAACAAGGCAAAACAGTTCAGACTGGAATTGAAGCTGACTGACGCTAGATGTTCGAGACTGCTTCGGGTGTGACTGTATCAAACAGTGACGAAGGGAGAATCGTAGGAAGTAGGATAGTTCATGGCACAAGGGCGGATGCAATAAGTTGAATACCCGACGCAGACCTGCGTGCTCTTCGAGACGTTGTTTCGATGTGGATTGATGATCGAAGAACAATTGTATTCTAGCTGATGTGTTCCGAAGCGACAGGCACAGAATGGGTTGGTTCTGTCGAGCTTGATGTTGTACTATCCTGTCCTCGTCCTCGTTACTCTGCAC